AGACTACATGAAACACAGAGACTAAATACACATGAGGGATGATCAGGGGAAGTGGCCACACATGGGAGCACAGCTGACACACATGAACCTAACGACAGGACAGAAGAGGTGAAACTAAATACACTGACATTGAATACAGACTTTCAAAGTAAAACAGGAAACCTGGAGACTAGACATGAACCAAACATAACCGCACAGACATGACGCATGACCCAGGGAGACTTAGTACAGGGGGAGATGACATAAACAACTAAGAAACAGGACTACACAGTAATCTAGAAATTAACTAGGTGAACTAAGCTAAGGCACAAATAAATACAAAAGATACATAAACTCAAACACTGGGTCGCTCGACCCAGGACCATGACAGCTCATTTATTCTTTCTGACTTTGGCTGTTACTTTCTGCACATCTCTCTCTCTCTCTCTCTCTCTCTCTCTCTCTCACAGTGTACTCCAAGAACAGGTTCCCATCTCAAATCTCTGTTTTCTGCATTATTCTCTTGATTATTACGCACCTCATTTTTTCAAAAATGACCTCCGACAGGAAAGTCTCATTTCTGCTGTTCAACACTAAAGAAATGTAAACTTTTTAAAATGATGCCAAACTGCAAAACACTGAGCTGTTTCTCTAATAAATGTAGAGATGAAACTATGCCACTTTTTATGTCCGATATCGATATGAATCCGATATACTCAATTTTATAATCAAACTTTGTTAATATCTTGCTGCATTTTGTATAAGTTCATACTCAAGTTTTAAAAATCTACACACTAAAACACACTGCACCCAAAACATCAGACAATACTGACCTTTGTATTTAAACTTTTATCAGAACTTTAAATCGAAGTATTTAAAGTAATATTTAAAAAATAATTTAAAATGCTGTTTTATCCGCCTTTGAAAAAGTCTTTGATTGTGACTAAAAGAAGTGCCATATCAGCACAAAATGTTTATATTCAACAACTAAAAACAAACAGGCTGTTGAATGGAGCCTTTTATACTTAAAGCTGAACAGAAACAACATCCAGAGTGGAAAACAGTGCAAATAACTGCAAACAGGCTTCATGACACTCATGTTTGATCAGAATTCACTCCCTGCTCTCACACACCAACTCCAGACCTGCATTCATCTTTTCCCTCTGAACCCCCCAAACATACAAACCCTGAGCCACCACCATTGCCCTTTCACTGACTGCCCCACTCCACCATTTGACCCTTAGAACTGAAGACGCTTCTCTCATAAGAGGTGAAACATCTTCAAGGAAACTTAAAGAAGTCCAGACGCTTTTCTTTCCAAGCTCCTTAGACTACGGTGACCTGGATGTCTGAGAACCTTCACAGACTGATTTTACAAGAACAACTTGTGTCAAAAATCCCTAGCAGTGCCTCTCTGTCACACACACAAATCACTACAGTTACAAATTTAATAACTTAAAAAACCTCAGAAAAACAGAACTGAGCAAAACAAACAAACAAACAAACAAACAAACAAACAAACAAACCAGAGACCAGGTAAGAACATTGTTGAGGTTTAAATTTATAATCTTAAATACTTATATGCTGATTATATTGCTTTATAAGAAAGGCCCAACTCTGAGTACACTCTGTGCCGACAGGACTGACAGGAAATTACATGCTTTTGCAGGCGAAAAGTGAAACTAAGCAGAGTGTTTGG